TAATGTCCCCTGAAGTGATGTATACATGGTATGTGTGTGTGTGTGTGTGTGTGTTTGCAGTGAGGGGATGATCCTATTATCCTGGTGTTGTTGTTGACTGCTGGCCGTGTCAACGGAGATTAACACTTTGTTCACCCAACACATTGTCCATTACCTGCACTCTGTCGTAAGCTGACTTTCTGCAAAGGGGAAAACCTTCATCAAAGTTTTAAAGCTCTATTTGTATTCATTCGCTAACTCTAAAAGTGACTGAATTGAGATAGAGACTTCGCATAAGTTTCCTAATATTAAGGTTACGGTAGCTTAAAAAGGTTCAAAAGGTTAGAACACTTTGGGAAACTCAAAGTATGTATTTCCTCCATTTACCTTTGAAAACCATATTTTTTAAATAGTGTCCTGAATGTGAGAAAAGAGTTCAAACTGTCTGAACTCGATTTATTACTCGCTGAATATTTGCGATTTGCATTGAGAAATTAAAAGCCCAGCAAGAAAATGAGTGTTAAGATAAAGGTGAATCCTTACTGTAAGCTCCTTGTATTTATATATTAAATACAAGGCGTATTAAAGCTCTATTCTTTATTCAAACTGAATCCAAAAGTGTCCGACCTGATATAGAGAGACCGACATTTATTGGAAGCTTGGCATAAGATATTTAGATTGTCTTAAAAAGATTCAAAAGGTCAGAAAACTGTGAAACTCAAAGTATTTCTAACCTGCATGTGGGATATTAAAGTCTATAAAGTCTGGGTAACATTTGTGATTTGGAAATGTATGTTGCCACGGGAACATGCTGAGATACATGTTAATCCTTGCTGTAAGCTGCTTGTTAATACATTGCATAATAGGCTTGTTAAAACAGCAGGCAACAGATCAAGCCATCCACTAAACTCTACCACGGCCCAAAATAAATGAAACACCTCAGTGTGAAAGTGCTTTATCTCTGAAGAAACCTCCTAACATCACTCTCAAAGGTTTAAAAGGTCAGTAGCCTGTACCTTAAAGAGGACCTGTCATGCTATATTGGAAAAACATATTGTAGAGCCATACCTATACAAAACATGTCACCCATTGTAGCCATGCCTCATACTGCTCAAACCCCTCTTTTGCAGCCCTGTTAGAGACACGCGGATCTTCGGTCCTTAATAAATAAGAGGAGGCGGAGCTAATGCCTGATCAGAATTCTACCGGAGATAAAGTTACATTCGGTTGTGATAAAACGCCATCCTGTTCTAAACCACATCAAGGATTATCTCTGGAACAGTATGGAGCTCAAATGCTTTTTCTCTTGCGGGTTTATCCCAAGGTGAGTTCTTTTTTTATTTCCTACTTTTTAAACACGTGCGCTCCAGTACAGGTTAGCTCTGAGTGTTAGCGATGCTAATGTAAACAAAGACCAGATTACGTCCAAAACACGTCAGGCTTTATTTCAATTTTATATTTATAAGAAAGAGACATCTGAGATAGGATCTTTGGAAATATTCGAGTTATTAAAGTATTTCAAAACTCAATTCTTCATCAGCCTAAAGTTAGCATTTTAGCATGCTTCCATCATTATTTAGCCCATTTACTTGCAGGGAAACACGCAACTCTTAAAGTAAGAGACTTGTGACTGACTAGGATGTGTGTGTGTGTGTGTGTGTGTGTGTGTGTGTGTGTGTGTGTGTGTGTGTGTGTGTGTGTGTGTGTGTGTGTGTGTGTGTGTAGTTCTACCACCTCTCCCTTTCACCCCTATCTGCCATCAGACTACATTTTAATGTGCCTCCTCCATCACCTCCTAACCTCTCGTCTTTCCTGTCCTCCACTTCCTCCAGAGCACTGCAAACTATAGATAAGAGTCTGATCCACTGTGCATGCCCGCCCACACGCCCACACACACACACTGTCTGGATGGTGTATTCTCTGTGATTTGACACTTCTGTCATTACATTTTGGGTGAAAAATATCCCAAAAAAGCGGTCGCTCATGAAATGCCGCATCGGATGAACAAAGAGTCGAAGGGTCCTGACACTCATCCAGACTGAGGGATTGGGGTGAGAGCTGCTCCTGCATATTTTACAACATATTCTGCCACCATTTGCCCCATGACACACACACACACACACACACACACACACACACACACACACACACACACACACACACCACACACACACAACACACACACACACACACACACACACACACACACACACACACACACACACACACACACACACACACACACACACAACACACACACACACACACACACCAACACACACACACACACACACACACACACACAACACACACACACACACACACACACACACACACACACACACACACACACACACACACACACACACACACACACACACACACACACACAACACACACAAACACTAATACACACCTCTACAAGATTGCCATGGAAACAAGTTGCGACAATTCGAGCACTTGAACCAGAAAAGCAGTCGGAGTGAGACCTTTACGCCAAACAAGAGCCAACCACTTTTAACAAACCCTGATCTATAACACCTTGTACTGCTGTGACCTTTGTAGTGAGGTACATTCATGCACTTTAGCCAGAGCTTTGACTCCATGTTATCTCATGACTTAATAATGGTGTCCTACTATCTGGTAACCTAGAAAAAGATTGTTTCCAAACGACAGCTTCCTAAGTGTAAAATGTAAAGACCTTTTCAGGTACATAAACCAAAAAATGGCCACATTCTCAAAGCCTTTACGATCACATCTTGAGTGTGACTATAAATGTAATGGCCAAAAATAAAGGTATTCCTAGAAAGAAACCTATCCAAGCTCTCATTGTAAACAAACACACTATTTGGAGCCAATGATGTGGATACTGGGGTAACATTTACATATTCTGGCAATGGGCTTCTTAAATTAAGCTTTTAAGTGCAGCACAGACTCAATGGGAACATAACAGAATGTGCTTGATTGAATTTCCATGGTCGAAGGCTCTTTAATGGAGGCCAGTGACCTTTAATAGAGGATGTTATTAAAGACGTTAGCAACGGAGAGAATCTGCTCATGTAACCACCTGTACAACCTGATGAAGCTCTGTGATGTCTCTGGTCTACTGTAGAACTGCAATAAGCTATGAGAGACATTGTTCCTGTTGGTAATAATAACCAGACAGGTAAGAAACACAAGCAGTCAGGTGATCGGTAATGATTCCTTGAACTGTCCGTTGTAAACAAATGTTACAGTATGCAGACCTACAACCTTTTCCTAAACAACCGGACGTTGGAAAGATGATAGATCCTTATAACTTGGAGACCACATAAACTTTATCTAGCTCTATTATCAACATTTCTACTTTGTTTAATGACCAATTACCATCAGAACTCATGACATTCCCAAAGACCTCAGCTCTACTTTGTGCGAAAAATGTCTTTACCTCCTGCAGGGAGTTGTCAGCAGGATTACAGAAGAACTAGTGACCCGATCTTCACACAATTTGGTGAAAGGATTCATAAAAGACAAATTAAGAACCCATAACTTTTCCAAGCGGATCTGGATGGGAAACTCATCGCATTCATGGAACCCCTTTGGTAGACGTCTGCGATCTCCGAATGCCTTTCTAGTTAGTGAAGGTAAGGGAACTTTACCTGTTTATTGGATTAATGTTTTTTTGGAAAAGTTAATCGTGAAAGTTACAACACTTAGCTAAAATGGTTAGCTTCAAGTAGCATTGTGACAAAAGGGGTCTCAAAGAGCTTTTATTATCACTGCAGGCGACTTGCTTGATACACTTTGTACAGAACATCATGGCTCCTTAAGGATTAATCCCAAGACCTTTGGTGATAACCTGACTTTTCATATAGAGCCACGAGAAGGTGAACAGTTGATGTCTGATGATCACAGTGTTAGTTGTACTTGTTGAGTTTCTTGCCCTGTTTGCCCAAGATCTTAGTAATTGCTAAGAATTATTGGACTAGAGTGCCAAACTAGTCCTATGTTTGTTGCACCTTAGAACCATTTCCCTGTATCCCCTTTAAAGGTGGGGTAGGTAAGTTTGAGAAACCGGCTCGAGATACACTTTTTGTTATATTCCATGGAATGCTCTTAACGTCCCGATAGCAATGAATATCTGAAGTGCTTTGACAACAAATCCATAAAAATATCATCTATGGAAGCCGTGGCTTCTGTAAAAAGCATCGACCAATCATCTGAGCCGGCTAAAGTACCTGGATGGCCTACCTGCCTGTCAGCCTTCCATCTGGGCACAAACTGATCTCGTGCCCTCATTGGTCATGTGCGAGTTCGTGTGTGTTGGAGGAGGGGCTCTGTGAGGAAGTGGCAGATTTTCTTCCGGTTGTGTATTTTCAAATTCTAGCCACTCGAGCTGGTTTCTCCAAAATGACCTACCCCACCTTTAACCTTATAAATAGGCTATCAATAAAAATACCTCTCGAGTTATAAAGTGTACTGCGATCGGTCAGAAACTGGATGGATCAAAGCGTTAGTTTTACTGCTTGCCTTTCTTCCCGGATCTTAGCACCTTAGTACACTTAAATATAAAGGGATTTGTGTACAGGGAGAGTTCTCTATTGGTCAGAAACTGGATGGATCAAAGCGTACGTTTCTTGCACTGTTGCACATCCCAGGTCTTAGCAATAACTACAAATTATTGGACTACAATAATGTTTGTTGCACCTCACTCCCGTTCCCCTGAATCCCCACCTCTCACTTTCCCTCCCAACCTAACTAAGACAAGAGTCTTCTCCTCTGGTGGTGGTGCTGTGGATGGATCGCGGACGGTGTGGAAGAGCTGTGAAAAGACAAAGCCACGACAGAGAAAACAGGTAACAGCATGTCCAGCGGACTGAGAGCTGATGGGAGGGAGGCAGGGGGGCGATTCGCGGGATGGGGCCCTACCTCCCATGATCATTGTACTGAAAACCCAAGCCACCATGGTGGGGTGGTCGAGTGGTCGGTGGTGGTGGTGTGGGAGTTTAAAAGGAACACAGAACATGCTGGAAACTCTGTACCTTTCAATGTGCCTCCAGAGAGGGCCCAACCCGGAACCAATAAATCTAGAGGAATGAGACCGTGTTAGTCAGGGAGAAGCAGAAGAAAAGCAAAGGAAGGAAGAGATTTGAAACAGGAGAGAGTTAAAGAGAGAGAAAGAGGGAAAGAGGGATGGAGTAAGGCCAGAAGGAAGCGGTGCAAGATACAAAAGCTGGTTTTATGTTCCTATGATTTGTCTTTCCAGAGATTCTGAGTCCAGTTCTTTTGTTTAGTGACAATCAGGAAGGCCGTTGACTCTCAAACCAACAATCCTCAAACCAGAGCATTTACAACCACCTTACTAACTGTTTTCTATTTCCATAAGCTGTCTTTTTCTATAAGCAACCTTGACTGTTTGCGTACAAAAAAGGTTTCCTGGCGAAAAAAAACCAAGCCAGGTAAACAAGAAAAAGCAAAAACAGGGGAACAAACGAATGAAAGGATTTGTGTGCTATCAAGAAAAAGAGTGTATATGTATTCTGGGAAGGTTCTCGATTGGTCGGATACCATTGGGCAGACGCCTCCTGAAAAAGGAAGATCAATATCTATCTGTATTTCTCAAGAGTTGTACGTAAACATTTCTATCGTCAAATAACAATATCAAGTCATGAAGACGAACACTTTAAGAAACCAATAAAGTCCACTGCTCCTTTTACAAACTGAAAAAGAAAGTGCCTTAAGATTAAGTAGGGTAAAAACTATAGGCAGATGCTCGATGTTTTCACATATAGGAGGCAGTGGAAAGAATAAAAAACCAAACCAAGCCAACAACTCCTATACAGCCGGAGGGGAGGGGGAACTCCTACAAATCTCACCTTAACTAAAGGCAAACTAAAGGGGAGAATCTTCATGTTCTTCCAGAATTAAGTCCCTGCCCCTGCGGCTGTACTAAACCACATGCAGAAGAAGAGGGGAAGGGAGGGGGGTCGTCTTCGTTTTTTAAGGCGGTTAAATAACCAACGACTCCCCCTTCCTCTAGCTCTGTGTACCCACCACCATGCAAGCCCCTCCGTCAGCACTCACTGGGCATGCTCCATCCCAAGCATCTACGGTAGACCAGGCAAGGTGAGGAAAAAAGGGGGGATAGGATGGGGGGCTAAAAACACCAGAGGTCAGCTGTTCGAACCCTGCAAAAAACCGGAGATTATGGAAGCTTTCCTCAACGCCCAGCTGGGTCAATTAGACGCTGGAGTTGAAGGAGAGCTTCCGAAAGTCTGGAGCTGCAGAGCCAGACGAGGTGACCGCCGGACTGCAACGGAAAACTAACCCTAGAGGGTCTACGGGGGGGGGGAAGGGGGAAAGGATCTACCGCAGAGTAGCAACTGTAGCCGGGTCTAAAGCTCACTAATTGGGTTCTTCCGGATTCGGCCATACCAAATCAAAAAGCGGAAAGAATAAAAAAGGCTCAGGCTCAAATCAAGCAGGACTCAGAAAGATGTGGAAAGACTACCGACCAGCCAGCTCCTTCTCCTTACTCCGTCTCTTTTTCTCCATGCGTTTCAGTCTCTTCTCCTCCCTGCGCTTGGCCTCCTCGGCCTCTTGGTGGCGCCGGCACTTGTGGAAGTTCTCCACCACGACGCCCACGAACATGTTCAGCACGAAGAAGGCCACGATCAGCAGGAAGGAGATGAAGTACAGCAGCATCCACGGGTTGTAGTTCATGACCGGCTGGAACACAGGACACAAGGGATTTGTAGATTATTCAAGGCTTTTATTGTTCTTTGTACAAAGTGTTGGGAAAATCCTGAATGTCCTCTTCCAACATGAGAGCAACATGATTACAAAGGTATCAACTGTAGCTGTGAACATGACAGGATGTGTGATTACCTAGAAGAGCATCAGGACTGTTTGAGGCAGATGATAGCTATGTGATTAACATGATGGATTCAGCCTCTATGGAGAGAGACATCAAGCATGCTCATTTCTGACGTGGAGCTAATCTGAAGTAAACATTGAATACTGCTTTCTATTCCTCCATCTTGTGACTGTGTAACTCCCTCTCTTGGATATCAGCATGTGAAGGACACTGTTCAGGAACTAGTTGATGCTCTGTATGTGATGACTCCTTCCATTCTGGAGAGGATCACAGATACATGGATCCTGAGGTTGAAGCTCAAGCCGGGGACGAGTGATGTTTTTATAACGCATAGCTACAGTGTAGATATGTCAATGAAAATATTAGGTCACAGCAGAAGTCGCGTTAACCGAATATTTTCCATCTATGACAGATTTTTTTTAACAATGACGGAAAAATCTGAAAGCCGTCCGTCATTTTGACGGATTAGAACAAACTCTGAACAGCGCCACAGTTTCCCCGCAGCGAGGCTCCGGTGTTATGCCGTGTTATGCATGCCCGCCCAAAAGGAAATGATACAGTTTCCAAACCTAACTTTGCCGAACAGATCATTGAAATGTCTGGGAGTATTTGCTTTGCGCTGTGCGCGATCCCACGAGGTGCAGTGGGCATGCATAAACGGCGCTAACAGTCCCCCGTTGACAGTTCGAGCGTGAACCCCCCCCCCCGGCAGAGTTGTGTACCAGCCGACGGGTAATAATGGATTTTGACGGAAATATTACGATCCTGCCCGTCAAAATGATCGTAATATTTCCGAAAAAAAGCGCAACCTCTGGGTCACAGGCTCTTCCAACAGTGCAACACAATAAAACTGATAAATAGTTAAAATAGTGCAAGTAAATACAAATAAAATATAGAATAGAATGAATGCCCAATGTTTCATTATAGTCACCTGTTGGTCAACTCCTACAGCGTCCAGTCCGTAATACATGATGTCCACCCAGCCGTCTTTGGACGCCAGAACAAACAGAGACATCAAGGCCTGAGAAATAGAGAAGAAAGGACATATTTCTTGATCATGTTCGAAGTATTTGAATGTATTGTTTGTATTATCAGACATCTTGCCATTTGCGAGGCCTCACCTGTCCAAGGTTGTCGAAGTTGTACTTGTGTCTGACCCACTTCTTGTTGGCCTGCAAACAGTCCGACTTGTTGGTGACGTTTCCGATATCTTCTCCTTGACAAATGAAGAACTTCCCCTTGAAGAGCTGGGGAGAAAAACGCAGATTTGATTTTACAGTCAGATTAAAAAAAGTGGTTTCGGGAATTTCTAATATCATCTCAAAATACATTTCCAGATGATGCATACAATTTCAAATGTATGTCTAGTGATTCTACAGTAACTCTTATCCACAAGTTCCTGTATACATGAGAGACAAGTATGCCAGTGGTGGAAAAGTTCTATTTTGACACAATCAAGTGGAAAAAATGTGACGAAAAGGGAGCTGAGCCAGAAGGCAAAGCTCTCTGTCTACCGGGCCATTTTGGTTCCTACCCTCACCTATGGTCATGAAGGATGGGTCATGACCGAAAGAACGAGATCGCGGATACAAGCGGTCGAGATGGGTTTTCTCCGCAGGGTGGCTGACGTCTCCCTTAGGGATAAGGTGAGAAGTTCGGTCATCCGGGAGGGACTCGGAGTTGAGCCGCTCCTCCTTCGCGTCGAAAGGAGCCAGTTGAGGTGGTTCGGGCACCTAGTTAGGATGCCACCTGGGCGCCTCCCTAGGGAGGTGTTCCAGGCACGTCCAGCTGGGAGGAGACCAAGGGGTAGACCTAGGACCAGGTGGAGGGATTACATCTCTTCGCTGGCCTGGAGCGCCTTGGGATCCCCCAGTCAGAGCTGGTTGATGAGGGGAAATAAAGTGTGGGGCTCTCTGCTGGAACTGCTACCCCGAGACCCGACCACGGATAAGCGGGAGAAGATGGATGGAAGTGGAAAAAATGGTAAAAGTGGATCTACTTTTCCATAATTGCATCCTTATTTAGCGCCGCTACACGTATCAATGGATTCTTTATTTTCATTAATAATAATAATAACTTTATTTGTATAGCACCTTTCATATAGGGGATTGCAGTTCAAAGTGCTTATATATACATTAGCCATGTAAACAGTTAAAAAAACTGCATATTTTTTTACTTAAACAAGGTCCTACTAATTAAGATCAGTCTCATTAAGAGAAGAACATTTTCCAGTTGCTTCAAGTCGTCTAGTTTATCCACATTTAAAGGGACAGTGTGTTGGATTCGGTGGAATCTAGACTTCTTAGTAGAATCTTTGATATACCTTATCTGTGTATTCCTCAAACTTGCAACTTAATATGTATTCCTTATTTACTGTAACCTAATATGTGAATATGCTGTAACATTATGCACTGCTGTTTGCAGTTCTGGTTGGATGCAAACTGCATGTTGTTGTGCAATGACAATAAAGTTGAATCTAATCTAATCTAAAGACTGCAATCAACTGAATGGCCACTAAAAGGTTTTTATTTCCTTTAGTTAAAGCCAGGATAGCCGATTGTCACCACTTCCGTTTCTGCAAAGCTACGCTACCTGGCTGCTAGTCATATGTTTGTTTCACTTGGAAAACAAATGTGTGTTTTTACCCCAGACTAAGGATATCAAAGGGATGCTAGCAGCTTCCAAACCTCTTGTGCACATGTGTCAAACTCAGCCAAATCCGGCCCTTGGTGGATTTAATTTCGGCCCGCAGGATAATTTCTAATTCCTATTAGATCTGGCCCGCCGGTATATTGCACGCACACCTTCACTCCATCCTGAGGGTCTCCTCCGCTCAGAGCCTGAGCCCAAACATTGATGACCTTGCACCCAAGATGAGACGCCAAGTATCTGAACTAGCATCACAGAGCAGCACACTGAGTTCAATGGATGTTTCCTTCTGCACTTTCTCTCAGGACAACAGGGCATGTTTGGTTTTCTCTCTGAGGGGAATAGTTTTGTTGAAGCTGTTGTTGGCCTGTGGGGAAAATGTACTCATAAGAAATGACTCTGGAAAAGCTGCAGATAGAGCCATGAGAAATGAATGCAGCTGATTATTTAATGTTTAATGTTGTTTTTATAGGCAATAATTGAAGCTTTGTTAGTTCCAGGTTTAATATGTGCAATAAGTTCATTTCAATAAGTTCTACAATAAACATTGAACCAGTCCGGCCCTCGACTAGCACCCATTTTTAAATGTTGGCCCACTGAGTATGTGAGTTTGACCCCCTGCTCTAGTGCAAAAGACAGTAAAGGCTCCTTGGTGAATAATAAACCAGACATTAATCACAGGTCAGTGAATGTGTACTTATGTTCTGGAAACATTACGACATGTGAAGGTTGAGGGCTATGCAGTGAACTCCCCGCCCCTCTTTTAACGACCGACAGCTTGTTCCTCCTCATTAACCCTTTGAGATGCTGCTTCACTTATACAGAAGGTTTATGGACGTAAAGACGCTGATGGACAGGAGCCTGAAGGCCACACGGCTCGTTGGGATTGCTGTGTCCTCGGGCTCCTCCATCCAAACCAGATAAGCATACATTAAGCTTTTCTTACTTTGTATTTGTCCGTTTATTTCATTTTACAGAAGTGCTTTAATTGTTAATAACATAATTAGATTTTTATTTCTTATATATATATATTTTTTTTTTTATTCTTCTCCAGAGCCACTATTTCAAGGACGCTACGTCATCGAGTCCCGCCGAAGGACTGTTCCAATGTTCAGGATGCTTGGAGTTCTACCGAGCCCGGCGTCCTTCGTTGCGGGAAATTTCGAGGCTGCACATGTGTATCCTCCGCGGTCTTAAAATCCCCACAATGCTTTGCGCACGGACCAATTTCCAAAATCTTTGGCGGAAATGGCGCTCCATCTAAGGCGGGGCCTCGCATATGACGCACACCTGTTCCACCATTCTTCGTTTTCCGAGGCTAGGAAGGATTCTTGCCTGACTCTGAAGGACCTGACTCGGAAGACATGTGCTACCAAGGAAGCGTCCTCGACATTGAGAAACACCCAGAGGTTTGTGTTTATTGACTTTTTTTTAATTATTTATTATTTATTGAAAAACATTTTTATTTTAGCATAGGTAATGTTTTTTAATAAGAGCCAACATTTAAAAAAACTGAAATACAAAATGAAAACATGTATAAATTAATTCAAATAATTAAGAAAACCCAAAACCTAAGCATTCATATATTTAGAGTTCAATTAACGCTGATAACGAGACAATGACTCATGAATAAAACAGAGGGATGATTTCACAAATGTTCATACACACTTACCCCTGATCATATACCTACAGTTGTGGGAGTATTTTTCAATCATTTGCAGCAGGAGGATAATATATATTTGTCACCACTGATCATATCACTACAGCACTGCTATCTGCAGGGACTTTAGGATGTAAGTAGTACAGAGAAAGTGAATTATTGTGGGAGTGTTTGTCAAACTGTCGCAGCAGGAGGTTAATATTTCTTAGTCACCACTGTCAGGACTGTTTTAGTGCTTTCTCATCGTGTGTGTGTGTGTGTGTGTGCGTGTGTGTGTGTGTGTTTCCCTCTCACCTGCACTCCCAGGATGCCGAAGATGATGAAGAAGGCGCAGCAGATCACCACGATGTTCCCGATCGGCTTCAGCGACGACATCAGAGTCTCCACCACGAGTTTCAGCCCCGGAGCCCTGCTGATCACTCTGAGAACACAGCAGGAGACAGGGGGTTAGTGTGTGTGTGTGTGTGTGTGTGTGTGTAGGCCACTCTAAGGTCAGTCACAGCTCAGACCAGATGGAGCAGGGATGCCTGCAGCGCTCCACACTCACCCCCCAGGCGCACACACACACACACACACACTGTTAGATATCATGTTGTATTGTAATGATTGTATTGCATTGTCATATTGCCATTAAAGTAGAACGGTTACTTTGTAGATATGGATTCCTTCCTGTATTATAACCAGCTTCATAGGAACGCGCGGAGATTTGAAAAGCGGACCAGTTATCCCTCCAAATCTCCAACACACACACACACACACACACACACACACACACACACACACACACACACACACACACACACACACACACCACACACACACACACACACACACACACACACACACACACACACACACACACCACACACACACACACACACACACACACACACACACACACACACACACACACACACACACACACACACACACACACACACACACACACACACACACACACACACACACACACACACACACACACACACACACACACACACACACACACACACACACGGTTTCTCAGTACATTAAGGAATTCATTGCTGCACTTATTTTTTAAAAAAAAACATATTTTTCTCTTATTTCTGCATTTAAGGAAACAAACGTCTAATTTATAAAGAACTATAAAGTGCTACACAAACAACAGACTCTAAACCAAACGTCCCATCCTTCACAGGTAATAAATACCACGGGTAGAACACAGGAAACACACTTCTGTGTAATAGTAAATAAATACAGGTCTGAATAAAACAATATTAAATAGGAATAATAAAAAATAGAATAAAATAAAATACACACAACACTTAAAACCAATAGAAGTCAATAAACACAGGACTGAATAAAGAAGAATACAATAAATAAATATAAAACCAATTAATATAAAATAACAAAAAAGTACAACATTAAACTTAATATATATATAAATTAAAATCCAATATTAATTAGTTGCACAGCACTGCAGCTGAGCTTCTCTCACACGGTGACACACACACACACACACACCATGTATACATCACTTCAGGGGACATTACATTGACTTACATTCATTTCCTGGAGACTTATCCTAACCTTAACCTTAACCAACACATGCCTAACCCTAACCCTTAACCTTACCCTTACCCTTAACCTTAACCTAACCCTAACCAAGTCTTCACCCTAATATTAATGATTCCCCTCATGGGGACCTCCATTTTGTCCCCATAAGGGAGGCGAGTCCCCACACGTGACTGTGCCATATCTACACTGAAGCTACTGTACAAATGACAATAAAGCCTTGCAACTTGAATCTTGAAACAGAGCAGCTTCAGTCTGTCAGAGATCAGCTGCTCTGTGTGCAGACAGTCAATAACACATTAAAAGAAAACATGAGGTAATAAAAGACCAGCCGCCACGAGGCCACAGATCAATACGCCCGATCACTGCGCTAAACCTCATCACTCTGCTGCAAAGCATTCTGGGATGCAGTACCACTGGTGCTCTATAGAGGACGCTGGTGTCTCCTGTTAGATCTGATGCAGCAGTGCTGGTATGTTTGCATTGCATTCCTCCGCAGAGGAGGACCTGAAGTGTTTTATAACAGAGAAGAAGGATAACCGCTCTGTTTGAGCAACTACACATATATTTTACAGCGAAACAGGAATGCAACACACTCCAAAGAGTTCCAGATGCTTGTTGAATCCTTCTTTAAAAGGCAATTTGGAATATTCAAAGCCTTTATTGTCATATGCAGCGTCGTTTTAGCAATGAACAACAATGCAACATACAATAAACTAAAAGACATACATATAAATATAATAAAATATGCAAAGGACACAATGGTGCAAATAAATGCAGACATAAGTATACACTTGTAGGGTCTCTACTTTAAAGAGTCCTCTCCTGCTGATGTTCAGGTGTATATCAGTATGTAGTGTCTCTACTTTAAAGAGTCCTCTCCTGCTGATGTTCAGGTGTATATCAGTATGTAGTGTCTCTACTTTAAAGAGTCCTCTCCTGCTGATATACACCTGAACATCAGCAGGCTTTAAAGAGTCCTCTCCTGCTGATGTTCAGGTGTATCAGTATGTAGTGTCTCTACTTTAAAGAGTCCTCTCCTGCTGATGTTAGGTGTATATCAGTATGTAGTGTCTCTACTTTAAAGAGTCCTCTCCTGCTGATGTTCAGGTGTATATCAGTATGTAGTGTCTCTACTTTAAAGAGTCCTCTCCTGCTGATGTTCAGGTGTATATCAGTATGTAGTGTCTCTACTTTAAAGAGTCCTCTCCTGCTGATGTTCAGATGTATATCAGTATGTAGTGTCTCTACTTTAAAGAGTCCTCTCCTGCTGATATTGCAGGTGTATATCAGTATGTAGTGTCTCTACTTTAAAGAGTCCTCTCCTGCTGATGTTTAGGTGTATATCAGTATGTAGTGTCTCTACTTTAAAGAGTCCTCTCCTGCTGATGTTCAGGTGTATATCAGTATGTAGTGTCTCTACTTTAAAGAGTCCTCTCCTGCTGATGTTCAGGTGTATATCAGTATGTAGTGTCTCTACTTTAAAGAGTCCTCTCCTGCTGATGTTCAGGTGTATATCAGTATGTAGTGTCTCTACTTTAAAGAGTCCTCTCCTGCTGATGTTCAGGTGTATATCAGTATGTAGTGTCTCTACTTTAAAGAGTCCTCTCCTGCTGATGTTCAGGTGTATATCAGTATGTAGTGTCTCTACTTTAAAGAGTCCTCTCCTGCTGATGTTCAGGTGTATATCAGTATGTAGTGTCTCTACTTTAAAGAGTCCTCTCCTGCTGATGTTCAGGTGTATATCAGTAGTGTAGTGTCTCTACTTTAAAGAAGTCCTCTCCTGCTGATGTTCAGGTGTATATCAGTATGTAGTGTCTCTACTTTAAAGAGTCCTCTCCTGCTGATGTTCAGGTGTATATCAGTATGTAGTGTCTCTACTTTAAAGAGTCCTCTCCTGCTGATGTTCAGGTGTATATCAGTATGTAGTGTCTCTACTTTAAAGAGTCCTCTCCTGCTGATGTTCAGGTGTATATCAGTATGTAGTGTCTCTACTTTAAAGAGTCCTCTCCTGCTGATGTTCAGGTGTATATCAGTATGTAGGGTCTCTACTTTAAAGAGTCCTCTCCTGCTGATGTTCAGGTGTATATCAGTATGGATGGAGTGTGTCTACTTTAAATAGTCCTCTCCTGCTGATATTCAGGTGTATATCAGTATGTAGTGTCTCTACTTTAAAGAGTCCTCTCCTGCTGATGTTCAGGTGTATATCAGTATGTAGTGTCTCTACTTTAAAGAGTCCTCTCCTGCTGATGTCCAGGTGTATATCAGTATGTAGTGTCTCTACTTTAAAGAGTCCTCTCCTGCTGATGTTCAGGTGTATATCAGTATGTAGGGTCCTCTACTTTAAAGAGTCCTCTCCTGCTGATGTCCAGGTGTATATCAGTATGTAGTGTCTCTACTTTAAAGAGTCCTCTCCTGCTGATGTTCAGGTGTATATCAGTATGTAGTGTCTCTACTTTAAAGAGTCCTCTCCTGCTGATGTTCAGGTGTATATCAGTATGTAGTATGTAGTGTCTCTACTTTGCTGCAGCACCTCTTTTCACCCTCTGTCTGAAACCAGAGCCAGTCTGCTCTGATTGGTTAGCTGGCTGGCTCTGTTGTGATTGGTCAACCGCTTAGAGATGTCCCGCCTCTTAGCCTATCACATACAATGTGCTGGAGCGCTAGCCAATAGGAGCGCGAGTGCTACATAGTGAGGTCCCTATGGTAGGAAAGTAAACAAAGGAGTCCAATGGAGGCGTTTCAGGCTTTTAAGAGTAAAAAAACGTGTAAAAGTTAGGAAGTAAGCGAGTTTGCAAAGTCCATCAAGGACAAAAACACATCGTTTAGTCGCTCAGATCAAACTCTACCTGCCAAATGAAATGTTTCCACACGCCGCTGCTCTTTACACCGTGTCCTCCTTCTGAGCTGCAACTCAACAAACACTGAGAGGCGAAAACGGCTGATTAAGGAGAAAAGATGAGCCTCTCATTCAGAGTCAAGACACTCTGATGACGAAGGACACACACTGATGACGAAGGACACACAGTCTGAAGACGAAGGACACACACTCTGATGACGAAGGACACACACTCTGAAGACGAAGGACACACACTCTGATGACGAAGGACACACTCTGAAGACGAAGGACACACACTCTGAAGACGAAGGACACACACTCTGATGACGAAGGACACACACTCTGATGACGAAGGACACACACTCTGATGACGAAGGACACACACTCTGATGACGAAGGACACACTCTGAAGACAAAGGACACACAGTCTGATGACGAAGGACACACAGTCTGATGACAAAGGACACAGTCTGATGACGAAGGACACACACTCTGATGACGAAGGACACACTCTGATGACGAAGGACACACACTCTGAAGACGAAGGACACACACACTCTTCTCCACAGTCGATTAGCATATGACACAAATACAACAAAAAAAAGAAATGGAGGAGCCGGAGGGAGAAGAGTGTAGGCTTCGTCTTTATGTCTCAACCTTCTGCAGAATGGTCACCACACACACCACACACACACACACACACACACACACACACACACAACACACACACACCACACACACACACACACACACACACACACACACACACACACACACACACACACACACACACACACACACACACACACACACAACACACACACACACACACACACACCACACACAGCACACACACACCACACACACACACACACACACACACACACACACACACACACCCACACACACACACACACCACACACAACACACCACCACACACACACACACACACACACACACACACACACACACACACACACACACCCACACACACACACACACACACACACACACACACACACACCACACACACACACACACACACACCACACACACACACACACACACACACACAACACACACACACACACACACACACACACCACACACAGGTCCTTACAGACGACCAACTGCTTTTAGACGCCAGTATAGAGTTACGTGACCTAAGTAACTCAAAGCTGAAGAAAGTAAGTACAGAAGTAGCAATTTAAGAAACGCCAAAATAGGGTTTGTGTTGTTGTGTTTTGCAGAAGCATTCGTACAGTATCTCCCCAAATCAAAGTGGACCTGTCATGCTGTATTTGAAACATATTGTAGAGCCATATCTCACACTGCTCAAACCCCTCTGTTGCAGCCCTGTTAGAGAAACGCAGATTTTGGGTCCTTAGCTTGAAAAAAATAAAGAAGAGGAGGCGGAGCTCATCCTGTTCTAAACCACATCAAGGATTATCTCTGAAACAGTCTGGAGCTCAAATGCTTTTTCTCTCTAAGATTTATCACAAGGTGAGTTCTTTGCTCTCCAGTACAGGTTAGCTCTGAGTGTTAGCGATGCTAATGTAAACAAAGACCAGATTACGTCCAAAACACGGCAGGCATTGTTTCTGATAGCAACTTTCTGTGCGTCCGCCGACGTCACAGCGGATGGAATCTGTATCCGCTCGCTGTACACCTGTTTTTAAAAGATTTGGGTACGGAGGAAAAGAGAGAGGGTTTTACTTTCTGACGCTTCGTGAGTTCCCCGACGCACCGGGGACACGTATTTATGTATTAAACACATCACAAAGTGCATTTTGCATGATAGGTCCCCTTTAAGAAAAACACGTCTTCAATACAACCTGAGCAGTAACTCCTCGAACAGGCTTTTAAATACCTGCCGTCTACAGAACATGAATACGCTGAATCCTTTAATGCTTTGCTCCTCCTTCTGGATCCACACTTAATAAAGAATGACTTCAACTATAACTCGTCTGCAGCCTCAGCCCAGATCCCACTCTCATAATCCTGCTTCTCTCGCTGCCATTTTGCATTTCTCTCAAACTGAAGACCACCTTAGCTCTGGAGAATATTTACCGTCAAAACGTCACATTTGTCCGTGTGTAATTGCTTCATGTTTTCTAATCTGACTGTAAGACCCCCCTGCCTGACGTTAATGCGCCTCAGTGGGGATTAAAGCAGAGAGAGATGTCACAGCACATCTAATTACAAACAACTTGTATGATGTCAAAGAAACTGTTACGTGTACTGCAGTAAAAGTGTTCCTGCTTCATTCGTTTGTTTGTACGCATGGTTACGGCAAACTGCTGGCACCATTTGATGAAACTTAGAGGAAATGTGGAGCATTGACACGGAAAAAATGACTAGATTTATCCATTATGCTTTACTCAAGAAAACAGCCTTGCCCTTTCAGTTGCCTTCTAGTTAGCAAGGCAAGGCCAAAGCACTTTTCAGCACGTGGCGCTTCAAAGTGCTTTACATAATAAAAACAAAAGACAGTTAAGAACAAATACATCATTAAAAGCAAAGATAATGAAATAAATGAATAAACACGGCAGGTACAGAATACATGACTGAAAGGCATACTTGTGAGTATGGGCCGCTCAATTAAAATAGGTGCGTTTTTAGTCGGGATTTAAAAATAGGAAGTGTTTCGGTGGACGTGCTCGATTTAGGAAGTTCGTTCCAGATTGTTGGGGCGTAATAACTAAAAGCTGGTTTCCATGTTTAGTGGTTATTCTCGGAACAGAGAGCAGACCCGACCCAGAAGGCCTGAGACGCCTGGATGCTTCATAGTGCTGGAGGAGGTCGTCTACACACCTCGGTCCTAAGCCATTTAGTGATTTAAAAACTAGCAGTAGTATTTTAAAATCAATTCTTTGGCCGACTGGAAGCCGGTGTCTCAGAACCGGACTGCTGCCTCAAATCCCAACAATGAACGTATGGAAGAGGCCGTTTTTAGTGCATGTGAATGGTCTTAAAAAGGCATGTTTTTGTGTCTTCATTTATTTATAATGCATGGACAAAAAGCTGGTTTCTTTTTGCAGAAAGTGCGTGTGCTGTATGGGCGAAGAAATTATATGAATCAAATACAACATTTTGAGAATGGGTCAGATTGCACAAAAGAGACATTTCTCTTTCGAGTCAGAGGTGAGAGCGAAGAAAGCCAAAAGCAGACAGAGAACATTTGTCGGTGGGATGAAAATGAATATTTGATTTGCGTGTTTCTCTGTGATAAATATTAAAGAGAGCTTCTCTTCACGAGAGGAGACGAGAAGCCAAGCGTGACGACACACACACAGATTACACACACACCAACAGGCCATACACACACTTGCAGAAACACACGTTCTCCATTCCCCTCTGCACCCACACACACACATATTTGGATGTAAGAACAAACAAAATCTCCAAATTGGTTATTTCCGCCTCAATTCCGCTCAAATAAACACGACCACACACACACACACACACACACACACACACACACACACACACACACACACACACACACACACACACACACACACACACACACACACACACACACACACACACACACACACACACACACACACACACACACACACACACACACACCACACACACACACACACACACACACACCACACACACACACACACACACACACACACACACACACACACACACACACACACACACACACACACACACACACACACACACACACACACACACACACACACACACACACAGCTCTTTAATTATTAAATATCACATTGTGGGCGTGTGTTACAGCGTGTGGCGAACACTTCAGGGTTTGAGCGTCACTGAGTTCCAGGCTCTCAAAATAGGGTTTTAATGAAGTGCCTCAATCAAAGCCTCGAGACTAAAGAGTCTCCATTCATTTGTTTTTACCCCATTAAAGAATAATACGATGCATTTTGGGCTTTTAATTTGAAGCTTTGGCAAAGAGTCATTTTGGCATGTTCGCACAACGGGCTATTTTCCAGGTTTCTAATTATTGATCCCAGACAGTCAAATGAAACATAGGAATAATGTTGGGAACAAATATGAAAAAATAACATTTATATATTAGTTTTGCACGCATATATATATATATATTTATATATATATAGGGTTAGGGTTAGGGGTTGTATCCATTTTTAAAATGATGCACAGAGGTTAATATCTCTCCGCAAGGACGTCCAGATATCTTCCTATTGCTATGTTATATCTTATTTCACACGTACATAGTTTACTGTACCTATTTACATTTTTAAGTGCATTATTGTATATGCAAGTAAACATGTGTGTTATATTGTGTGTTGCACGGAGCCTGGGTGTTTCTCAGTGTGTGTGTGTGTGTGTGTGTGTGTGTGTGTGTGTGTGTGTGTGTGTATAAAGGCATTTTCCTCACCGTAGGGGTCTGAGGGTCCTGAGGAGCCGCAGCACTCTCAGCATGCCGAGGATCTTGGTGCCGGAGTTTGAGAGGAGAGAGACGAGGATGTCGATGACGGAGATCATCACCAGCATCCCGTCCAGAAGGTTCCAGCTGCTCCTCAGGTACGACTTGTCCCCGAAGCACCAACCCAGAGACACGATCTGCAGCCAGAGGGGACAGACCGAGTTACAGGGCACCCAGTATGCAAAATCCACTTCTTCATGTCTCTTCTACATCAACATGTGTCCCCTCTTCTTCATGTCTCATCTACATCAACATGTGTCCCCTCTTCTTCATGTCTCTTCTACATCAACATGTGTCCCCTCTTCTTCATGTCTCTTCTACATCAACATGTGTCCCCTCTTCTTCATGTCTCTTCTACATCAACATGTGTCCCCTCTTCTTCATGTCTCTTCTACATCAACATGTGTCCCCTCTTCTTCATGTCTCTTCTACATCAACATGTGTCCCCTCTTCTTCATGTCTCTTCTACATCAACATGTGTCCCCTCTTCTTCATGTCTCTTCTACATCAACATGTGTCCCCTCTTCTTCATGTCTCTTCTACATCAACATGTGTCCCCTCTTCTTCATGTCTCTTCTACATCAACATGTGTCCCCTCTTCTTCATGTCTCTTCTTACATCAACATGTGTCCCCTCTTCTTCATGTCTCATCTACATCAACATGTGTCCCCCTCGTCTTCATGTCTCTTCTACAATCAACATGTGGTCCCCTCTTCTTCATGTCTCTTCTACATCAACATGTGTCCCCTCTTCTTCATGTCTCTTCTACATCAACATGTGTCCCCTCTTCTTCATGTCTCTTCTACATCAACATGTGTCCCCTCTTCTTCATGTCTCTTCTACATCAACATGTGTCCCCTCTTCTTCATGTCTCTTCTACATCAACATGTGTCCCCTCTTCTTCATGTCTCTTCTACATCAACATGTGTCCCCTCTTCTTCATGTCTCTTCTACATCAACATGTGTCCCCTCTTCTTCATGTCTCTTCTACATCAACATGTGTCCCCTCTTCTTCATGTCTCTTCTACATCAACATGTGTCCCCTCTTCTTCATGTCTCTTCTACATCAACATGTGTCCCCTCTTCTTCATGTCTCTTCTACATCAACATGTGTCCCCTCTTCTTCATGTCTCTTCTACATCAACATGTGTCCCCTCTTCTTCATGTCTCTTCTACATCACATGTGTCCCCTCTTCTTCATGTCTCTTCTACATCAACATGTGTCCCCTCTTCTTCATGTCTCTTCTACATCAACATGTGTCCCCTCTTCTTCATGTCTCTTCTACATCAACATGTGTCCCCTCTTCTTCATGTCTCTTCTACATCAACATGTGTCCCCTCTTCTTCATGTCTTCTACATCACATGTGTCCCTCTTCTTCATGTCTCTCTACATCAACATGTGTCCCCTCTTCTTCATGTCTCTTCTACATCAACATGTGTCCCCTCTTCTTCCATGTCTCTTCTATATCAACATGTGTCCCCTCTTCTTCATGTCTCTTCCACATCAACATGTGTCCCCTCTTCTTCATGTCTCTTCTACATCAACATTGTGTCCCCTCTTCTTCATGTCTCTTCTACATCAACAGTGTGTCCCCTCTTCTTCATGTCTCTTCTACATCAACATGTGTCCCCTCTTCTTCATGTCTCTTCTACATCAACATGTGTCCCCGCTTCTTCATCGTCTCTTCTACATCAACATGTGTCCCCTCTTCTTCATGTCTCTTCTACATCAACATGTGTCCCCTCTTCTTCATGTCTCTTCTGCTACATTCGACTCATCAACATATGTTCCCCTCTTCTTCATGTCTCTTCTAACATCAACATGTGTCCCCTCTTCTTCATGTCTCTTCTAAATCAACATGGTGTCCCCTCTCTTCATGTCTCTTCTACATCAACATGTGTCCCCTCTTCTTCCTGCCTCTTCTACATCAACATGTGTCCCCTCTTCTTCATGTCTCTTCTACATCAACATGTGTCCCCTCTTCTTCATGTCTCTTCTACATCAACATTGTGTCCCCTCTTCTTCTGTTCTCTTCTACATCAGACATGTGTCCCCTCTTCTTCATGGCCTCTTCTACATCAACATGTGTCCCGTCCCTCTTCATTCTTCATGTTCCCTCTTCTACATCAACATGTGTCCTCTCTTCTTCATGTCTCTTCACATCAACATGTGTCCCCTCTTCTTCATGTCTCTTCTACATCAACATGTGTCCCCTCTTCTTCATGTCTCTTCTACATCAACTGTGTCCCCTCTTCTCCATGTTCTCTTCACATCAATGTCCATTCACTGTCTCTTCTACATCAACATGTGTTCCCTCTTCTTCATGTCTCTTCTACATCAACATGTGTCCCCTCTTCTTCATGTCTCTTCTACATCAACATGTGTTCCCCTCTTCTTCATGTCTCCTTCTACATCACCATGTGTCCCCTCTTCCTTCATGTCTCTTCTTACATCAACATGTTCCCCTCTTCTTCATGTCTCTTTCTACATCAACATGTGTCCCCTCTTCTCATGTCTCTTCTACATCAACATGTGTCCCCTCTTCTTCATGTCTCTTCTACATCAACATGTGTCCCCTCTTCTTCATGTCTCTTCTACATCAACATGTGTCCCTCTTCTTTCAGTCTCTTCTACATCACATGTTGTCCCTCTTCTTCATGTCTCTTCTACCTCAACATGTGTCCCCTCTTCTTCATGTCTCTTCTACATCAACATGTGTCCCCTCTTCTTCATCGTCTCTTCTACATCAACATGTGTCCCCCTCTTCTTCATGTCTCTTCTACATCAACATGTGTCCCTCTTCTTCATGTCTCTTCTACATCAACATGTGTCCCCTCTTCTTCATGTCTCTTCTACATCAACATGTGTCCCCTCTTCTTCATGTCTCTTCTACATCAACATGTGTCCCCTCTTCTTCATGTCTCTTCTACATCAACATGTGTCCCCTCTTCTTCATGTCTCTTCTACATCAACATGGTCCCCTCTTCTTCATGTCTCTTCTACATCAACATGTGTCCTCTCTTCTTCATGTCTCTTCTACATCAACATGTGTCCCCTCTTCTTCATGTCTCTTCTACATCAACATGTGTCCCCTCTTCTCATGTCTCTTCTACATCAACAATGTGTCCCTCTCTTCACGTCTCTTCTACATCAACATGTGTCCCCTCTTCTTCATGTCTCTTCTACATCAACATGTGTCCCCTCTTTCTTCATGTCTCTTCTACATCAACATGTGTCCCCTCTTCTCATGTCTCTTCTACATCAACATGTGTCCCCTCTTCTAACTCAACATGTGTCCCCATCTTCTTCATGTCTCTTCTTACTCGAACATGTGTCCCCTCTTCTTCATGTCTCTTCTACATCAACATGTGTCCCCTCTTCTTCATGTCTCCTCTACATCAACATGTGTCCCCTCTGCAGATTGTGTGTTGTTATAAACCCATCTTCTTATTGGCTCTGCAGCGAGGAACACAAAGCGCCTCATCTCTAATTCTATAGGCTCCGCTCATCAATTATTCTGCACATGAAGCAATTCCAGAAAATAACAGACTTGTGTTCCTGCAGAAACGTATTAAATCAGGCCAGCACAGCTATTCCTGTTTTATTAACCCTTCGTGTAAGAGATGCATTACTGATGCTAATCAATGCACAGCAGAATATACTGTCTACATCACAGATATCAACAACAACACGTTGCTGTTTCTACTGGAATAAACAGGTTATTTTTGAATGTGTTTGTATAATATTGAGTGTTTTAAATACATATTACAAGTCTTTGGTTGTGATGCTACTGTTTTCATTCATATATCATTACAATGTATTGGAAAAACACTAGTCCCACTGCCCAACGTCTAAATCTAGTATAAATACAAGCAGTACTAAACTACTAGGTGTACATGAACTTATACAAAGTTAAATATTTAAGGTACACATACGAGAGTAACACCTGCGTCACTTCCGAGCGAAAATGACGGCCCCGCCCACTTTTGGGGGAAAACAACGCTGTAATTTCAATGGCGGTCGATACAAATTCTGAACTTTTTGCCAATCCGATCAGAAATGTAAGAAAACCGTGGATTTGCTGATCTTCAGAGAGCCCGATTACGATGAACAATTACATTACATCATTTGAAATCGACGATCGGGCTCGATATATGGTTACATTAATATCAGTAGGCGAGGCTGTAATTTCGCCAGCTGTTACTCTCATGAGCGAGGCGGAAAATAATTGTTTTATCATTTCAACAAGCTGCGGTGTCGTTTATTGCACCTCAAACATTAACACAGATCCAGAGTTCAGTGTTTCTGAACTTCCTCTAAGAAGAAAGGACGGTAGAAGAAGAGCTCTGTGGCTTCAGGCTCGATCGCCGTTCAAATGACAGCGTTGGTTTCCCACAAAAGTGGTCGGGGCTGTCATTTTCGCCCGGAAGTGACGCATGTGTTACTCTCATCTATGTAGTGGAAGACATTCACACACACACTTTTAGTGAGGTGTGTGTGTGTGTGTGTGTGTGTGTGTGTGTGTGTGTGTGTGTGTGTATGTGTGTGTGTGTGTGGCCTAGCATTACTATACTTGTGGGAACCTAAATCTGTTTACACAGTCACGTGTGGGGACTCGCCTCCCTTATGGGGACAAAATGGAGGTCCCCATGAGGGGAATCATTAATTTTAGGGTGAAGACTTGGTTAGGGTTAGGGTAAGGGTTAGGCATGTGTTGGTTCTGGTTAAGGTTAGGATAAGTCTCCAGGAAATGCATGTAAGTCAATGTAATGTCTCCTGAAGTGATGTATACATGGTGTGTGTGTGTGTGTGTGTGTGTGTGTGTGTGTGTGTGTGTGTGTGTGTGTGTGTGTGTGTGTGTGTGTGTGTGTGTGTGTGTGTGTGAGACATAGGTTCATGAACCCATCAATTCCCCCACGACCAAAAATAGAGACGGCTCTGAATGAGTGACAGCAGTGAACTTTTCTCACCTCTGCCTCCCCCCCAAACACCCCCATTCAGAGACATTTGAATAATAGCGAGACAATCCTCCGCTTAGCATTGTGAGACAGCGTGTGTGTGTGTGTGTGTGTGTGTGTGTGTGTGTGTGTGTGTGTGTGTGTGTGTGTCCTCTGGGGCTTACAGTGCATGTGTTTATCACAGTCTCTTCTTCTCCTCTGCAGATGTGTGTGTCTCCGTCTCTAAATGTGAGCGTTTGATCTCGTGTCACAAACTAAATAACCCTGAGCTCACAGATATCTTTCCTACGAGCTGATGTCCACAGAAGTGAGAGATGACTTCATGGCAGAGTGCATACATGTCTTTTCTACATCACGTCACATCATTGCTATCATCAGTGGAACGTTACTAATGTATTCTTAAAAACCACATAAATAATACATTACAAGGGAAAGCTCAGAGTTCAACAGGTTACGTAACATTACAGAAGTGTTATGAGCAATTAACACCAACAAAAACACAAAGGAGTTTTTCCATTTGATATGAAAGGCACCCTTAAATAAAATGTGTTATTATTAGTCATTATACTTTGGTACTGAATTTAAGTGTAGTAAAAAACATCAATGTTGTACAAGCTGGCTTTACACAAAATTTCTGTTTTGTAAGTGGTTTGTTATTAAAGAATATTCACTTTTCATATATTTACTTTGTCAATGTCAAGCAATGTTTCGATCCTTGCTGTTCTATTGACAACATTAAAAGGACATTATTACTGCCAGTTCCTCACCTTTATGAACATCTCTGCCACGAAGATGGCGGTGAAGATGTAGTTGGTCAGTTTGAGGAAGATCCTCTCCTGCAGAATAGAGAACAGACACCGGGGTTAAGATGAGGTTCATGCTAACAGCGCTAATGATTTAAGAAAGCACATTTGAGTTGTAGGCATGTTGTTCCACTGAGTTTGTTCTTTGTCTGCCTCTAAATCGATCTGAATAATGTATGAGGGCAGACAATAGGGCTGAACGATTAATCGATTTTAAATTGAATGCGCGATTTGAAATGATGCGATTATCAAATGGCAAAGCCTGCGATGTTTCTTCTTCTTGTGTGTCAGTCATCCACACCAATCAGAAGTGCTGTGCTCCACGTGTACCAGCCATTGTTAACCAATCAGAAGTGGCCCATGATAGAAGGTGATAGACAGATTGATCCTATCACCTGCCAAGTGCTTTTGAAGGCAAGGCAAGGCAAGGCAAGGCAAGGCAAGGCAAGGCAAGGCAAGGCAAGGCAAGGCAAGGCAAGGCAAGGCAAGGCAAGGCAAGGCAAGGCAAGGCAAGGCAAGGCAAGGCAAGTTTATTTATATAGCACTTTTCAACACAAGTCAAAGTGCCAAAGTCACAAAGTGCCTGCCCTTTCCAAAATGGCTTCCAATGGAGCTCTAGATGGTTTCTGAGTCAGGTTAGTAATGCTCCATCACGTGTTTCTATTACAGGGAGAATTTTAAACTGAAGCTTGACTTTAAAGCAACCCAACGGGAGTTTCATGTAAGTTTAGTTCTTTCACTCGTAGCTCGGGCTGCGGGGCGCTAGAGACGGGAGCACGTTGATGCCACCTTCCTAGCCGGAGTTATGGCCGCATTTTACAATAAACTTCCGTTGGGTCGCTTCAAAACTAATATCGCAATTCGAATCGCAATATTTGTCAGAAATATCGCAATTAGATTTTTTCCCAAAATCGTGCAGCCCTAGCAGAGAACTGTACAAACGTCCCTGATGCAAACACTAATGATGGCTGGCTGGCAATTATAAAGTGTACTATTCATTAACAGCCAGTGTTGTGTCCTTTTGCACTTTGAAATAGAGCAAATACACTTGTTACAACTTGTCCTTAACCTTTGTGTTGTCTTCCTGTCACTGGTCCTCAAGAATATCCTCACAATCTGTGTTTCTTAAAGGTCCCCTATTATGCAATCAGCTGATCAGATTTTGGTCACTTTGTGATGTCACTATGTTTTTTTGTGTTGTGCAACCATTAGCCAAGAGTACCATAGAAGACCTTTAATATCAACACATTGCCACACGTTTTACCCGTCATTTGTGGTCAATACACTTCATTTTGTTAAACCTTATTTTTGAGTTAAAAAGGGCAAAATATGTGAATTATTTGGCTCGAGAGGAACATATCTTTTTGGTGTCTATCTAAGTTTTTCCTTGTATGATGTGAGGGTCTAAGGACAGAGGGTCTAAGGACAGAGGGTCTAAGGACAGAGGGTCTAAGGACAGAGGGTCTAAGGACAGAGGGTCAAAGGACAGAGGGTCAAAGGACAGAGGGTCTAAGGACAGGGGGTCAAAGGACAGAGGGTCAAAGGACAGAGGGTCTAAGGACAGAGGGTCTAAGGACAGGGGGTCTAAGGACAGGGGGTCTAAGGACAGAGGGTCTAAGGACAGAGGGTCTAAGGACAGAGGGTCTAAGGACAGAGGGTCAAAGGACAGAGGGTCTAAGGACAGAGGGTCAAATGACAGAGGGTCAGAGGACAGAGGGTCTGAGGACAGAGGGTCTAAGGACAGAGGGTCTAAGGACAGAGGGTCTAAGGACAGAGGGTCAAAGGACAGAGGGTCAAAGGACAGAGGGTCAAAGGACAGAGGGTCAAAGGACAGAGGGTCTAAGGATAGAGGGTCAAAGGACAGAGGGTCTAAGGATAGAGGGTCTAAGGATAGAGGGTCTGAGGACAGAGGGTCTAAGGATAGAGGGTCTAAGGACAGAGGGTCTGAGGACAGAGGGTCTAAGGATAGAGGGTCTGAGGACAGAGGGTCTAAGGATAGAGGGTCTAAGGACAGAGGGTCTGAGGACAGAGGGTCTAAGGACAGAGGGTCTAAGGACAGAGGGTCTAAGGACAGAGGGTCTGAGGACAGAGGGTGTCGTATTGTCATACTGATATTCTGTACAAACTGTAAAGTCCACTGAGACAAATGTAACATCTGTGATATTGGGATATATAAATAAACATTGATTGATTGATTGATTGATTGATTGATTGATTGATTGATTGATTGATTGATTGATTGGTCAAAGTTAGGTCAGGATTATGTTTGTTACCGGCTTCAAAATGATAAAGAACACAATAACACCAGATGCTATAAATGTAAATAAAACACACATAAATCAATGAAATGAGTCGTTCATCATCCGTGTGGTTTGTGTGGCAATTACACATCAAATAAGTGATATATAAAAACATCGACAGACGGGTCAGTTTTGATCCGAGGACAAGAGGAAGGTTACAAAGTTAAACAAGTTGCTTTAAATCACCTGCAAAAACACATGAAATAAAGCATTTTTTAAATAATTTTCTTCCGTCAATGTAGAGGAAAAGCAGGATATGTAGTTCACTAAGCGTGCACGTAACATCAGTGTGCAGCTATTAGAGCTCCAGAGAAAACAAGCAGCACTCACTGCTTATTTACCCCATAGAATGTGTGTGTGTGGCTGCCTTTCCCACGGCCTCCAACTACCATCTCACACACACACACACACATGACATCACTGGGAAGGCTTTCGTTGAGAGGCTTTATGAATTCCAGGCTCGACAGCAGCCACTTCTGTGCTTTGAACACAAGTTTCATTTGACATAAACAGTCTACGGTTTGTATATACAATGAACAAAAATATAAACGCAACACTTTTGTTTTTGCTCCCATTCTTCATGAGATGAACTCAAAGATCTAAAACATTTTCTATAAACACAAAATAACCATTTCTCTCAAATATTGTTCACAAATCTGAAAGAATCTGTGACAGTGAGCACTTCTCCTTTGCCGAGATAATCCATCCCACCTCACAGGTGTGGCATATCAAGATGCTGATTAGACAGCATGATTATTGCACAGGTGTGCCTTAGGCTGGCCACAATAAAAGGCCACTCTGAAACGTGCAGTTTTGCTTTATTGGGGGGGGTCTGGGGGGGTCCGAAAACCAGTCAGTATCTAGTGTGAGGGGTAGGGTTAGGGTTAGGGTTAGGGGTAGGGTTAGGGTAATGTTGTGAATCGAGTGGCCCATGGTGGTGGTGGGGTTATGGTATGGGCAGGCGTATGTTATGGACGACGAACACAGGCCACTCAATTCACAACATTACCCTAACCCTACCCCTAACCCTAACCCTACCCCTACCCCTCACACCAGATACTGACTGGTTTTCGGACCCCCCCAGATCCCCCCAATAAAGCAAAACTGCACGTTTCAGAGTGGCCTTTTATTGTGGCCAGCCTAAGGCACACCTGTGCAATAATCATGCTGTCTAATCAGCATCTTGATATGCCACACCTGTGAGGTGGGATGGATTATCTCGGCAAAGGAGAAGTGCTCACCAGGGTGGGAATTTCACGACGGCCACGACGGCCATGGCCGTCGTTGCCCCGCACTTTGGCCGTGATGCCCTGTGAAAAACAATGCAATTCACGGCCAAAGTGGCCTTGGTGCCCCTGTCAAAAGTTCCAGTGTAAACAACGCTAGTAAAGTCATATTAGTGCGCGCAGTAGGATAGTCCCGTGTCTGTGGATCAGAGCGATTGCTCTGCTGTGATTGTTCCGTCAGACATGCCTGTAGGGGCCCGACAGCCTCCTCCTCAGCCGCGGGAGCAAGACAAGCACAGGTAAGCAAGCGGACTAAGCTGTTTTGATATGATTTAACTGAAGTATGTGGTAGTATTTGAAAGGACTTAACATTTACGTGGTTATAGAAAGTACTATTGATAGGTAATTACCATTGTATTAGCCTATTTAAAGTCGACTCGTTACATTTTGTCATGAAAACTAGCGATAGCTAGTTTGGATAGCGCTAACGTCTTCCCTTCAAGGGGTCTACATCTAGTGTTGCTTCTACAAGCTAGCAGATAGCGGTCACCTTTGAATCTAGTATTTTTCTTGCTAAGCGGTTTTGATATAATACATGACCGACTTATGTGGTTTATGGCTGAACTTAACGTATACGTTAAAGAAACACTATTGCTATTCAGCCATTTGTAAAACGACTGGTGTTGACGTTAGTGCTACACTTTTCAGTCATGTTGATTGACCAGCGTAATTTAACCAAACGGCCTTTGTGCCCTGTCATGTGGCCTTTGTGCCCTGTCATGTGGCCTTTGTGCCCTGTCATGTGGCCTTTGTGCCCTGTAATGTGGCCTTTGTGTCCTGTCATGTGGCCTTTGTGCCCTGTCATGTGGCCTTTGTGCCCTGTCATGTGGCCTTTGTGTCCTGTCATGTGGCCTTTGTGCCCTGTCATGTGGCCTTTGTGCCCTTGAAAAAAATGTGAACGGGAAGGCCAAATGGCCTTGCCCCTAAAATGACGAAATTCCAAGCCTGGTGCTCACTATCACAGATTCTTTCAGATTTGTGAACAATATTTGAAAAAATGGTTATTTTGTGTTTATAGAAAATGTTTTAGATCTTTGAGTTCATCTCATGAAGAATGGGAGCAAAAACAAAAGTGTTGCGTTTATATTTTTGTTCAGTGTACTTTCAGTCATTGGGAAATGTTCCTCAACTTAGTGTCAATCCCTTCACTATCACTAAAGATCATGGCTGCATAATTAGTCAATACATCTGCGGAAAACTTGAGATGTGACACAAACACTTCGATTGACTTTGATAGTTGTTATATTTCAATAATAGTTATATATATTACACTTATTTTCTCACACTAACTAGTGTTCTTTATCTGTGTTTTATAGCTTTTTTGTCCTTGTTTCTAGCAGTTATTTCCTTATTTCTCAACCTAATACCTTTGCATAACTACATGTGTGTAAATCACCTAGAAAGCTTGAAGTTAGTTAAATAAGTGTAAGGTATCTTCAGTATGTTCATATACCTGTAGTATTCGTAGTACGATGGTCTGTTCTAGTGTATTATCATTTACATTATACAGTATATTCTATAGATACATTACAGATTTGACTGTTGATATGTACGTATGTACTTATTTAAAATGTTATTTTTAACTTATGTACAATGCCTTTGACCTTGCTTCTTATGAAAAAAGTCGCAATTTTGGATCAATAAAGTATATTTAATCTGCTCTGTGAATATGACAGCCCTGTTTTGGGACGGTATACCTTAATGTTAAGAGGTTTATCATTAAGATGCACTGTACAGCAATACATCCGACGTACAATTATTGCCTAATTATGCAGTTTAAAAAAGTTCCTGTACTCCTGAGCGTCAGAAAACCAGCGTCAAACTGAATCTCCTGTAGAGTTTCCATCACGCTTCAGTGTGTAGCGGCTTGTTTTTATCTTAATTGATAATTGATAATGATAATTGATTGTGTTTTACACTGCTCATGCTGATACAACTCAATTAAAAAAGCTCCAGACGGTGATGCAGTGTCCCCAGGCTCATTACGGGATAATACATCATAATAGGTGGTATGATCATCCTAAATCATTTCCACCGGGCAACAAGAGGACAGTGTCCAGGCAACCTCCCAAACAAACAGAAAGACAAATATTAAGTGTGTGACATAACCTCCAGGACAAAAACACAATCATTCAGCTTGTGACTTTATCTCTAAAGCTAAATTGACTATCTCTATTTAAATAATCTCTTTTTTTGGGGCCAATATGATGAAAAGCAGGTCGTTTTGAAAGGTTGTTGCAAATAACAAAATCAGTGAGTGGAAATGGGTTTCGTTTTTGCAAAACTACCCACATGGAAAAACATCATGCAATGACCACTCGGGTAAAATGAGATCAGAAGGAATAAGAATTGCATTTCAAAACTGGGGATGATGCTGAGTCACACATTAACACCTCATTTAAAAGATGGAGCCAGAGGCAGCAGATTGGACATGGTAAGATAGGAAGCGTAAATAATATTAGCTTATACATAAAGCTCTGTGATGTTAATGTTAGTGTGCCCGCTGTGTTGGACCTGGAAAGTTAGCATATCAATGGTTCCATCGACAAAAAGCCAATGGGATTTTTCCATTGGCTTTGGATTGTTGCAGAAAATAATCTCAAACGTTTATGATACTTACACGTTTTGTCAAGCAGGATAACCTCCACATATTAACACCACTTTTTGAAGTAAAAAGCTAATATTGGGATATAAAGGAACTACAGCACGGTCACATGACTTCACGTCACCACCGCTAAGCTAAAGGCGGCTAATGTTGGACTATAAAGGAACTACAGCACGGTCACATGACTTCACGTCACCACCGCTAAGCTAAAGGCGGCTAATGTTGGGCTATAAAGGAACTACAGCACTGTCACATGACTTCACATCACCACCGCTAAGCTAAAGGCGGCTAATGTTGGGCTATAAAGGAACTACAGCACGGTCCACATGACTTCACGTCACCACCGCTAAGCTAAAGGTGGCTAATGTTGGGCTATAAAGGAACTACAGCACGGTCACATGACTTCACGTCACCACCGCTAAGCTAAAGGCGGCTAATGTTGGGCTATAAAGGAACTACAGCACGGTCACATGACTTCACGTCACCACCGCTAAGCTAAAGGTGGCTAATGTTGGGCTATAAAGGAACTACAGCACGGTCACATGACTTCACGTCACCACCGCTAAGCTAAAGGCGGCTAATGTTGGGCTATAAAGGAACTACAGCACGGTCACATGACTTCACGTCACCACCGCTAAGCTAAAGGCGGCTAATGATGGGCTATAAAGGAACTACAGCACGGTCACATGACTTCACGTCACCACCGCTAAGCTAAAGGAGGCTAATGTTGGGCTATAAAGGAACTACAGCACGGTCACATGACTTCACGTCACCACCGCTAAGCTAAAGGCGGCTAACGTTGGGCTGTAAAGGAACGACAGCACGGTCACATGACTTCACGTCACCACCACTAAGCTAAAGGAGGCTAATGTTGGGCTGTAAAGGAACTACAGCACGGTCACATGACTTCACGTCACCACCACTAAGCTAAAGGAGGCTAATGATGGGCTATAAAGGAACTACAGCACGGTCACATGACTTCACGTCACCACCGCTAAGCTAAAGGCGGCTAACGTTGGGCTGTAAAGGAACTACAGCACGGTCACATGACTTCACGTCACCACCACTAAGCTAAAGGAGGCTAATGTTGGGCTATAAAGGAACTACAGCACGGTCACATGACTTCACGTCACCACCGCTAAGCTAAAGGTGGCTAATGTTGGGCTATAAAGGAACTACAGCACGGTCACATGACTTCACGTCACCACCGCTAAGCTAAAGGCGGCTAATGATGGGCTATAAAGGAACTACAGCACGGTCACATGACTTCACGTCACCACCGCTAAGCTAAAGGAGGCTAATGTTGGGCTATAAAGGAACTACAGCACGGTCACATGACTTCACGTCACCACCGCTAAGCTAAAGGCGGCTAACGTTGGGCTGTAAAGGAACGACAGCACGGTCACATGACTTCACGTCACCACCACTAAGCTAAAGGAGGCTAATGTTGGGCTGTAAAGGAACTACAGCACGGTCACATGACTTCACGTCACCACCACTAAGCTAAAGGAGGCTAATGATGGGCTATAAAGGAACTACAGCACGGTCACATGACTTCACGTCACCACCGCTAAGCTAAAGGCGGCTAACGTTGGGCTGTAAAGGAACTACAGCACGGTCACATGACTTCACGTCACCACCACTAAGCTAAAGGAGGCTAATGTTGGGCTATAAAGGAACTACAGCACGGTCACATGACTTCACGTCACCACCGCTAAGCTAAAGGTGGCTAATGTTGGGCTATAAAGGAACTACAGCACGGTCACATGACTTCACGTCACCACCGCTAAGCTAAAGGTGGCTAATTAATTAATAATAGTCACCTTCTACATTAATTCCAGAGGCTTACCATTTACTTCCAGACGACGGGACAGGAAATGGTAAAAGCTGAGTTATATCTCAGGTTTTAAGACTCATTCTTGCTCCACTGTTCTGTATTTACATATTTGTGTGTGTGCACAGATGAAATAATCCCATTTAAATGTATAAATGTGTGTGTGTGTGTGTGTGTGTGTGTGTGTGTGTGTGTGTGTGTGTGTGTGTGTGTGTGTGTGTGTGTGTGTGTGTGTGTGTGTGTGTGTGTGTGTGTGTGTGTGTGTGTGTGTGTGTGTGTGTGTGTGTGTGTGATCTTTGTGCCCTGATTAGAGCGTGCAGCCAGTCGGGTCGGCCTCCATTTGTTAAACATCTTCTTTCCTGGACATTAGCCACGTACGCCAGCCCACAGATAATCAAATCAATTACAAACGGCTCTGTCTCCTCTGTCGCAAAACCACAATTAGACCCGAACAAGGAACACCTCGCTCAGTGAGAAAAAGTGATAATTATTGTGCTTATGCATGGAGCTGCTGTTGGGGGTGTGTGTGTGTGTGTGTGTGTGTGTGTGTGTGTGTGTGTGTGTGTGTGTGTGTGTGTGTGTGTGTGTGTGTGTGTGTGTGTGTGTTGCAGCCTGTATTTGAAGAGATGGTGCATTGGCTCATGAGGTGCAGTATGTGCAGCAATAAAGAAAACATTACCCTTTGATATTGTCAAACAGAAGTGGCTAAACCCTATATCTTTATGTAGGAGCATACATGATTAGGGAATGTACTTGAAGAGGATATATACTGTAGTGTCTAACTTAGCAGATTGAATTTATATAGTTTGTAATGAATTTCATGCTTTTACTATTAAAAATGTTTTGATACTCACAACCGTGGAGATGTAGGGCCTCTCCATGGCGATGGTGATGCAGTTGAGGAAGATGATGAGCAACACGATGTGGTCGAACATCTTGTGGGTGATGATCCTAGTGCAAACTATCCGAAACCTACGAGAAAAAAACACAGACACACATTTTAAACTTCAAAGATGGTAGCAATTAGCTGGCTCTCCTGTCTCCTAAATGGTGGAGTGAGCTCAGCAGATACTTTGCACATCTTCTGTCCCAACTGAAAACGTATGTATTTCAATTGTACTTTGGCAATTAGGCTAGTGCTGAGAAGAACATTACAATTGTTAATTAAAGAACATTAAGTACTTTTTGAGTTAATGTAGGCCTTGTACCTGATTCACCAGCACTCCTTATGGTATGATCTTGCTTGAAGTGAATATATCTTCACTTTCCTTGTTGCTCGGAGTTTGGTTCTTTTTTGTTGTTGTAATTAAAGTTTTTATTTATAAAACATACATGGTACATAGCTCACATGGTACAGCATGCAGAAAGAGGAAGATCAGGCTATAAAACATGTTAAAGGTGGGGTAGGTAAGTTTGAGAAACCGGCTCGAGATACACTTGTTATATTCCATGGAATGCATCCCGACAGCAATGAATATCTGAAGTGCTTTGACAAAAAATCCATAAAATGTCATCTGTGGAAGCCGTGGCGCTGTAAAAAGCTCGACCAATCATCTGAGCCGGCTAAAGTAACTGGATGGCCTACCTGCCTGTCAGCCTTCCATCTGTGCACAAACTTATCTCGTGCCCTCATTGGTCATGTGTGCGTTCGTGTGTGTTGGAGGAGGAGCTCTGTAAGGAAGGGGCAAATTTGTTCCGGCTGTGTATTTTCAAATTCTAGCGCACTCGAGCTGTTTTCTCCAAAATGACCTACCTTACCTTTAAGTGTTCGGGTTAAAAGAAAACAGAAAAATACAAAGGTGTAAGATTAGCAATCAGACACTACAGCGATCATAACATAAAAGAATAACAACAAATGATGCTTGATTAGAATAATTGTTCAAAGGCCCTTTTGTGTGAATCCTAAAGTCAGGCTACTAGTTAGAGGTCAGGTATTTCACAAAGTCGGAGTTTGATTATATGTTTTTGTAACTTATTGTAAGTCACTTTGGATAAAAGTGTCAGCCAAATGATTTTTTAAATTTTATTTAGCCTTTATTTATACAGGTGTAGATCTCATTGAGACACAAGGTCTCATTTTCAAGAGAGACCTGTCAGTGGTAACACTACCACACAAAGTTACAGACAGACAGGACACTAAACACAGATATGTAATGTAATTTTGGAAAACACAAAAGCCTATCTAGACTGTCCAGACTCCAGTCCATGTTCGATAAAGCATGACATACTGTAACGGCCCGTCCACACTACAGCTTCGACAGCTTCAAAAACGGATTCCAACACGTCTGCCCATTCACTTTGAATGGGGTGACGTCACGTTGCCTTGCTTTTCGCCGAACTGAATTGTTGGTAGCATAGCGGTCCGTCTCCGGCGTCAGAGTAGCCAGCGCCAGCCAATCAAATCCCGTTTCTGAAAATCTGACAGCTCAAACCCTAGCCAATCAAACCGCGTCTAAGCTGGGAGAGATATCCCGCCATTCATTTCTATATTTTAAAAAAAGATGGAGGAGAAACTAATTATCGCCGTGGCAAATCACCCGGTGTTGTATGAGCAGACCCTCTTCACCTACCGGGATACAAACCGGAGGAACCAGGCATGGAGGGAGGTGGCAGAGACAGTGGGTGCAACTGGTAGGTTTTCGCCTGTTTGGGGAGTTTATATATATATATATATATTGCTCGCATAAAATCCCGGGGTTTTTTGCTTTGTATGTCGGGGGCGGGAGATTCATGTGATTGGTTGTTGGTCACGTTGCTCGAATAAAATCCCCAAGCTTCAGACACGCCCAGCTCCAAGTTTTTTTTGAAGCTGTAGTGTGGACAGGCCGTAAGAGACATTGAAACACTGTCCACCACACTGTCACAGTAATACGAGCCTGTGACTCTATAATGCACCGCTACAGAATTAGCAGTCATTAATTACGTCTGACTTTCATTACACGACAGCAGAGAGAAAGAGAGAGGGGACGCTTGTTATACGGCGAGGGATTAAACACTGCATTCAAATCTGCTTTCATGTGCAGGCTCAGATCGGGATGTTTTGGCTTTATTTGGAAATGCAGACTCCATTCAGTGTGTGTCATGTGACTGTGGTGATCGTTCTGCAAACAATGTGCAGACGGCATGAGATAATTCCTCTTTAATATCTGCACGGCGGAGCGTTGATGCTGAAGACTTAATATGTTATCCTGCAGCAGAAGGGAGGGAGGACGCATGGAAGCACACACCAGTTCCTCCACTGGTTTAAGATCTTTAGTGTCCAGTTTTTCTGTCCTTTCTGGGAGTTTTTGTCACATTTACAACCCAGTTTAGATTCAACCACGCCCACTTCAGCATGATGAAAGCATTGACAGCTGCAGTCGCTTCATAAAGCATATTTTTCTAAATAGATTAAAACCTCTTAAGCCCCGCACGGACCCGGTTCCGGGGCCGAAATAGCATGATTTCCAGGAAACAACGTCTAAGGAACCTCAATATTTAATAAACTATGAATATTTTATATCCATATAACGGGAACAAACTAATTTAACTGATCTTTTTCATTTTTTTTTCTCAAAAAAAAACACACAATGCTAACAGTGACCCTCTGAATTAGCCCCGAGCGAAAAATGCTAAGCTATTACTGCACCGAAAATCACTCCTAGCTCCCTTATTACTTATCCTAGGTGCACATCCAACACATCGTTTATGATCGTAAATGTGAAGGTAAACTTCTGTTGTTGCAATGTTGAGGTAGAATGAAGGAGTCTGGAACCGTTGTTAGCCCAAAACACCCCTAGAGTTTTATTGGAGAAAGTACAGACAATACGGCCGGGAGATCATCTTAGTTTCACACATGTCCAGTGCTCCACCAGCGATCTCTGAACCAAAAGACACAAAACATCTCTGCTACACGAGGAGAGGCCGGCCCATAGAAAGCCCGCGTTTACCTAATCAATAACCGATGCGAGACAATGGTCTACTTGTCACAAAGAGATCCAGACAAGCCCCAACATCCCCCACGGATATAGGAGAAGCGTTTGACCTGTGACCTCAACCCACAGAGGAGTCTTTGAGTGACTACAAGCAGATGTTTGCAGTATCACAGACTCTAAGGAATAATAAGAGACTCTATAAACAGATCAGATTAAAATATTCTCTTACAGTAAAGACACCGAATCTAACGGTGCCCACTTCAACACTGAAAGATACAAACTCGCGACGTTATCAACAAAAACGTACATCAAAACAAGTGGCGCTAGGTAGCCCACAACGCTAACATGGCTTACCTTCGTCTTTGTCTGGTCAAAACTGGTCTTCAATGGCATTAAAACGATAAAAACGATGCTGTCCATAGGTTAATATCCAATGTGGCTGTGTCCCCTTTGAAATGTTCTGATAATCTATAAGCAATAAAACTGCGTTTCCTTTTCTAGAAGTCAGAGCAGGGATATTCCTACGCTCTGCAACAAGATTGCATGCGCAGAGACGCCAGCTTTTTTTTTTAACTTGAGAGTCTATGGGACGATTTATCTTGGATTCTATTGGCTCTAACGGTCAGGAAGAGGTGTCACATGTCAAAATCGAGCGAGGGGGGCCAGAGATATGGAAAATCCACCCAAATGGCCCCAGAAGAGGGTTTTTTTTGCTAAAAAGGTCAAATATCACTTGTTTTGCATCAATCTTGATACAGGGTACTTATTATATGTTGTACTTTGGATTCCTAAAGCTTTTAGTCTACCTTACCATCATCCAAGGTTAGTTTTCACTATAAGTACAACATATCTTTTGGACGGACACTATAATTTAGTTTTTTACCATGTTCAATCTGAATTTTCTTTAAAATAAAAAACATCTATATTGAATCTGACTTTTCTACATCCAACTCACAGGTTTATCATTACTTTGAGAACAAAGATTATTAATTTAACCCTTTTAGAAGATATGGTCATTTGTTCTGGGAATGTCATTTTCGAGCCTGAAACCTGAAAAACAGGCTTGGGGCCTAAGAGGTTAATGAAAATAGCACTTTTTAAACATGACTGACAATCACAGTTACACAGAGCTGAGGTAATGTTGATTATATTACATGATAATCACTATGAACTACAGTCTGTTGCCTAATAGTTATGGCATTTATTGTTATTTTTAGCAATTGACAGTTGACTTAATCACCTTAGATATTAATTACAGTTAGCTTTATGCGTTTTAAATGTCAATAAGTGTGTTTCAATACTACTCAGCCCCTAGTTTAGCCGCTATAGGCTTAGACTGTCGGGGGACACCTTACTTCTTCCTTCTCTCTGTCTGTACCTGTGTACTCTCATGTTCCCAATAACCCAGCTTCCCCAAAATGTCTTTTTGGATCCTGACTCGTGGCTGATCCTGAGTCCTGATCTGAGTCCTGGACTTCGAGTCGTGGCTGACTCATCATACTACTTCCCTGATGGCTCCCACAGGATTGTTGACATCTTCGTGGATTCATCTTCTTATTACAGACACATTCGTTTTTATGCTCCCCACAAATGGAATAAACTTCCAGAAAACCTGAGGTCTTCACCAACGCTGAGTTATTTTAAGTCGAGGCTAAACACACTACTTTTTTTAGCTGCTTACCCAGAAGCCTTTTAACTTGTTTTAGCACTTACCGTATTTACAATGTCGTTTTTAAACTATTTTATATCTCATTAATGCACTGTTTTTATGAAACTGTTATTCCATTATGTTTATTTATTGTGTTCCTCTCTGTTCTACTATCATGTGTTAATGATCATGTAAAGCACTTTGAATTGCCTCTGCGTCTGAAATGTGCTCTATAAATAAACGTACCTACCTAACCTTACATGCATTTCCTAACATTCGGTCTATATGCTGTAAAATGTATTATCTCTTCGATTTACACACGGCATCTATTGCACGTCTGTCCGTCCTGGGAGAGGGATCCCTCCTCTGTTGCTCTCCCTGAGGTTTCTCCCATGTTCCCTTTAAACTCT